AGCTCTCTCAGAGGTGTTCTCTCAAGAGCAGTCCTTGAAAGAGCTCTCTCATCCCCACCTACCTCACAAGGCGTCTGTTGTGGAAGGAAGAAGGGAAGGTGAGTGTAAGCCGCCCTGATACTCTGAGTGAAGGGCAGGGTATAAATCCAAACCTCCTTCATTCCTTCTTCCTCCAAAACCCATTCTGAAATTAGGTGCCAGTTTCAGATACACACACACACTCATTGAGAAGGATAGTGTAGTGGTTAGAGCAGGGGTGTCGAACGCATTTGTTATGAGGGCCGGATCTGACATAAATGAGACCTTGTTGGGCCGAGCCATGTGTGTCATAAAATGTAATGCCTGGTAGCGGAGATATAGACTTTATAAAGGACACAAACACAAAGATTTTTTTTAACTTAAAATAAAAACATGCTTAAAACATTAGCTCTGTAAGCTGCAAACCTACTTTTGATTTATTGACATTCACCACAGAAATCTCATGCTCAGAGTTCTGAGTCTAGAACACAGGTTAAAACATGAAATGGCTGAATGATTAAGAGTTTGGTGAAGCAAGCTATGATGCAGCAGCAGCAGCAGAACTGGAAGCAGGAGATAGCCACTTCCACTGCGGGCCTGATGGAAGCCCTCCGGGGGCCTGATCTGGCCTCCGGGCTGCATGTTTGACACCCCTGACAAGGATCTGGGAGAACCATATTTGAATCCCCACAATGCCATGGAAGTTTTCTGGGTGACCTCGGGCCAGTCATACACTCGCAGCCTAACCTACCTCATAGGGTTGTTGGGAGGGGAAAATTGAGGAGAGGAGAATTTGGTAAGCCATCTTGGGTCCCCATTGGGAGAGAGGTGGGGTATAAATTAGACAGATAGATAAAAATCTCCAGGAAACTTCTAGATGCTTAGAATGAAGTGTGGCAGTCGTCTTGTGGTGTAGGCTCCTTATAATCGATTCAACAGCTGGATTCACGCGTGTTTGCGGAAAGCGGACAAGAACAAAGATAACAAGATGACCCTTAAAGAGCTCAAGAACTTCCTGAAAGAAGTCAACATCCAAGTGGACGACAACTATGCCCGGCAGATCTTTGAGGTAAGGCGAATTTTATTTATGGACTTCGTACCTTCCTGAGGTACAGAACAAACTTAAACAAAATTAAACACGAATTCGTTGGAATGGTAGAATCTGTACACTACAGACCAATTTATTGGGCAAATTGAAAACTCAGTCCAAATTATGAAGCAAAGAACTATAATGAGGTTGTGTCATAGTACGCAATTATATTATGGATTACAGTATTAGCGCATAATAATGTTAATGAGTAGTATTATAGAAGAAGAAGAAGAGATTGGATTTATACCCCGCCCTTCACTACCCAAAGGTGTCTCAGAGTGGCTTACAAACTCCTTTCCCTTCCCCTCCCCACAACAGACACCCAGTGAGGGAGGTGGGGCTGAGAGAGCTCTGACAGAAACTGCTCTTTTTCGAGAACAGCTCTTATCAGAGCTACGGTTTGCCCAAGGTCATCCAGCCAGGTGCAAGTGGAGGAGTGGGGAATCAAACCCGGTTCTCCCAGGTTAGGGTCCGCGCACTTAACCAAATTATTATTGAGTCCTCTTTCATTACTACTATTATAGAATGATATTATTACTATTATAGAATGCTACTATTATAGAATGGTCAACATACATGATGTTTACGGGTGTTTTTTGCTTATAAACATGGATACATACACTTTCGCAAAATGTAGGAGCCAGCCACATTTTCTAGGAATCAGCTGGGAAGGGGAGAGAGAGAGAGAGAGAAAGAGAGAGAGAGGAAGGCCTCGCGATGCCCATGAGAGGATAGATCCTAAGTTTACTTAGTGTGCTTTGATCGCTTCTCCTAGTTTTCCTTCCACGCTTGCTTATTTGACAGTTGCCAAGACTTACCTTGCAATGGTTTGGGAAATTCCTGAAAATCTGAGGGCAGATCCTGGGGTTGGTGAGATTTAGGGAGGGAAGGGAGCCCAGCGGGTTATAATTAATAATAACTAATGTTATTTAATATTTTAATGTTTTTACTGTTTTACTGTATGTTTCAGTGACATACCGTGTAAGTCGCCCTGAGCCTACGGGGAGGGCGGGATAAAAATATAAATAATAAATAATAAATAAAAATAAATAAACCCCCACAAACACTTGAATACGTGTTCAGACTGCAGTACGGATTAGCTTGTGTGTTGGTGTAAGGAGTGTAAAACCAAGATATTTTACTTAAAGATGTGACTGAGAGTGTTTATTTGTTTGATTGATTGATTTATACCCCACCCTCCCCACCGGAGCAGGCTCAGGGCGAATTACACAAAAATTTTAAAACAGATAAAACAAAACAAATATAAATATGCATATAAAGCCCAACATAAAGTGCTAGTAAGCTATTTGTATAACAATGGTGTGGTATTAGTAGAAAACCATTACAATAAGGGGTACAAACAGCATTCGATGTTCAATTCATACTGGTAACACACAGGTTGTATTAGGGCGCAGGGTCTTAAGTTCATTTGATACAGCTGTTGAATGCCGGGTGGAGGAGCTCCATCTTGCAGGCCCTGCACAACTGTAAAAGGTCCTGCAGGGCCCTGGTGTCTTCCAGGAGTTCATTCCACCAGTGTGGAGCCACCACTGAGAATTTTAAAATACTGATGCAAAATTGACTGGTAGTTGTTATATTGCATGAACTGTTATATTGAATGTACTGAATAGATATACCTGATTAGGATGTTATAAGAACACACAATGCACTTTATAGAATGTTAAGTATAAACAGAACACATTAATTAATTAATTAATAATGGGAGCAGGGGGTGGGGCTTGTTGCCTGTGCCCACCCCCTGGGCTCTTTACTGCCGGAGCTTCGCACCTGTGAACTCCTCCAGGAAATTACCCCTGCTCATCATTAATAACAACAACAACAACAACAATAATAATAAAAAAATAATAATAATAGTAGTAGTAGTAGTAGTGGTGGTGGTGGTGGTAATAACCGTTAAAGCCTTACACGGCCTGGGACTCACATATCAGAGGGACCGCCTCTTCCCATATACGCCCCAAAGAGTGTTATGCTCTATGGACCAACATCTCCTGGTTGTCCCAGGGCCCTTGCCTGGTGGAACACGCTCCCAGTCAAGATTAGGGCCCTGCAGCATCTTCCCCAATTCCACAGGGCCTGCAAGACAGAGCTGTTCCGCCAGGCCTTTGGCTGAGGTGGTCGTCACCCACCTACCGATCCAAATCGTATGCCAGGGAACCTCCCACAACCAGTTGACTTGTCTGAATTGGGATCGTGTTTTAATGTTTGTTACTGTTTTAAACTTTAACTGTATTTATTGTATTGTTCTGTGATGTTACCCGCCCCCAGCCCGCTCACGCAATGGGCGGGCTATAAATACAAATAATAAATAAATAATTAATAAACGAAATAGTAAATAAACGCTAAATAGGCCCAGTGAGTCCAGTTAAACATTCAAGAAAATGTGATAATAATCAATAATGCAGATAGGGGGGAAATGGCACCAGGCTTATTCAGGAAGAGCTGCCTGTTGGGTTTCTTACTCTCGGGGATCCATATTGACGGTTTCCGGTGATTTCTTATGTTTTGCATTGTCTAGCTCTGGCTCAGGTTACGGCTCATAAGGAAAGAAGGCTTTCACCTCTTCTCTCTGTGTCCGCAGCAGTGTGACACATCCCAAACGGACACCTTGGAGGACGACGAGATCGAAGTCTTCTACAAGCTACTGACCGAGCGACAGGAGATCGGCAGGCTCTTCTCGCGGTATTCTGACGCCGAACAGGTCATGTCTGTGGACAACCTGGTGAGATTCCTCCGAGAAGAACAGCGGGAGGAGGACGCCGGACCCGAGATGGCTCGGTCTCTGATTGAGAGATACGAACCCAACGAAACTAGTAGGCCCCCTTAACCGTGGGATTGAGTGGTTTCCCAGTTTGCGATATCGACATACTGCCTTTCGGCAGAAAACTTCCCTAGGGGTTCACATTTTAAAAATGTAAACACAGCAGTGAATACATCCAGTTGGATCTAAGGCACCACCAGTGAGGTGAAGCTGATGGAACAGGATTTCCTGCCGATCACTGACAGCAGTGATCCCTTGTCACGGCTCAGGTGGGGTGTCACCTGACGCTGCCACCACTCTGGATTTAGGTTCCCTTGAGAAGGCCCAGAGCGCCCTCCCAAGACCTTCAGACCTCCCTTTAGGCCGAATAACAGGCGTGAGGACCAGGCAGAGTAAAACAAGGAAAAGGTTTATTTTATAGGAGGTCAAACAACAAGGTGCAGAATAATAACAGTAAGTGGGTGAAAAGAAAAGAAATCAAATGCCCTAACGCGTCTAAATTTACTTTCCATAGCTCACTATTTCAAGTGGCCTTACACTACTCACCCCTCTCTCAGGATGAGGGTTTTTCCCCTGCAGCAGCCTTCTTTCCGGCTCTGCCCTCTGGAAGAAAGAACAGCTCTTCCTGCTGCTCCAGAACTTTTATTCCCAGCCCTCCTCTTTTCCTGTTGGTCCATTTTGGCTCCAAAACCTCCCAGGGGCTTCTGGGAATTGTAGGCTTAGACTCACCTACTGCTAGCCAGGCTCTCTGGGCCTAGTAGGCCTCTGGTAGCACAGCCCAGATCATGACATCCCTCTAAGCTGAGTTAGTGTGAGCCAGCTCACAGTTTTTTTAGCCTCCAGCTCACACATTTTTGTCTTCGCTCAGGACGGATGGCTCCAGAGAAACTAAATTATGCAGGAGCCAAGTCGCTCGCTCACAACTTTAATGCCAGGAGCTCACGAAATATAATTTTTGCTCACAAGACTCCACAGCTTAGAGGGAGCATTGACTGATAGTGCCAAAATTCTGCTCCCGGGGGTCAAGGGAGCCTCAGGAACAGCGTGGGGGGCAATGTAGGGGGGAAGTCTACACTGGGAGGTGGGAATCGGGGAAATTAACCCTCCCTCCACCAGTGGAGGTACCTTAGAGCCAACTGAAAGTCTAAAAGCAGAGATGTCAAACTCATTTGTTACGAGGGCCAGATCTGACATAAATGTCACTTTGTTGGGCCGGGCCATGTGTGCCATAAAATATAATGCCAGGTACCAGAGATAGAAACTGGATAAAGAACAGCAGCTGGTAAGCACCAGATTGGTGTATCCTCACTGTAAAGCCCCGTGGGCTGGGAGGGGGGCGCAGAGGAAAACCCACATGGGCGGACTGGGGAGGCAGCAGTGCAGTGCTGGGCAAATGCTCCCACGATGCTTGAGTGTTGAGTGCTTGAGACGAGGTTGTTCTACTGTGCTTGAAGCCACAATGGAGTAGCTCCGCCCACTCCCCCCCCAGCACTCCCTCCCTTGTACTAGTTGCTTGCGGGCCACATAAGAGTTCTGGATGGGCCGAATCCGGCCCCCGGGCCTTATGTTTGACACCCCTGGCCTAAAGAATGATAGATTCAGGTGGGTCGCCGTGTTGGTCTGAAGCAGCGGAACAACGTTTGAGTCCACTGGCACTCATACTCTGGTCTAAAGGACAAGAATGCAAAGCTAGGAATCTAGAACCTGCAGGCACCCCTGGAGCTCTGACACAAGGTGGTGGGCACAGGCAGGGCTATTTTTGGGCAGGAACACACAGGAACGGAGTTCCGGCTGGCTTCCGAGTTGGCCACGCCCAGCAGGAACTCATTAGCATAATAGGCCTCACCCAACAGCAGGAACTCATTAGCATAATAGGCCTCACCCAACAGCAGGAACTCATTAGCATAATAGGCCACACCCAACAGCAAAACCTATTAGCATATTAGGCCACACCCCTGACAGCATAGCTCATTAGCACATTAGGACGCACCCCCATGTTACCAGAAGTGTGGTCATCCAGCCACACCCACCTTTTGCTTCTTATTCTGTTTACCTTGTTTGTGGTCAAAACCCAGGGCTTTTTTGTAGCAGGGACTCCTTTGCATGTTAGGCCACACACCCCTAATGGAGCCAATCCTAATGAGTTCCTGCTGGGCTTTTTCTACAAAAAGACCCCCAGGTATAAAATGGCTGCTGTGGGAGGTGAAGCCTTCCATACAATGGCTGCCACAGCTAACCTTGGGTTGTACAGTGAAGCTCAATGTGTTGTGGTGGCAGCGACATTTTTAAAACTCAGCATAGCCCAGGGCTTATTTTGGGGCAGGGACGCACAGGAACGGAGTTCCGGCTGGCTTCCGAGTTGGCCACGCCCACTACAGCCAAAACCTCTGCATGCATGGCTACAGAGGGAAGGCCTGGAGAGCGACCCCCCCCGGCGACTCCGAGGTGGGCAGGCCAGGGGGGGTCCTGGAAGGATCGGGGAGGCATTTGCTCGGAGTCTTCCCCGGCCTGTTAAAGGGCCGACTTGCACCTGGGCAAGCCAAGGGAAGGTATGCAGGTGTGGCCTAATATGCCAATGTGCTGCACTGTCCGGGTGTGGCCTAATATGCTAATGAGTTTCTGCTGTTGGGTGTGGCCTATTATGCTAATGAGTTCCTGCTGGGCTTTTTCTACAAAAAAAAGCCCCGGCATAGCCAATCAAATCTCTGACAGCCAGTCCAAAGCCTTGCTGGGCAAAAGCCCCAACCCGGCTTTCTAAAAGCACCTGGTGGGCACCATGGTGACCGTGGGCACCGGGTTTGGGGACCCCCGATCTAGAACAATAAAAGTTCCAGGGGGGGGGGATCAAAGGCTTCCACTTTGAAACCTTTGCAGAACAGTCATACTTCCGTGGATCACCAGAAAGAAGCAAGAGAAACTGCTATTGTGGGCTCACCGGGGAAGGAATGTTATTCGTTCAGGGGCCACAGCAGCAAAGACCCTGCTCATAGCCGGCAACAGCGTAGCATCTGAAAATGATCGTGCCTGAAGCCAGGCTTCTTTGGCTAGTTGCTGACGTCGGGATAAGAACAGGAATGGGCATGGCCCCTAAACTATACAGTGATACAGTGAGAGCCAGCCTGGCGTAGTGATTAAGTTTGCCAGGGGTCCCCCGTTTTGGGGGGGTCCCCCGCCCCCAACACCCACAGCCACCCATCTCTCTCCCTTTAAGTGTGTGGAACCCGTGTTTCCTCCCAAGCCGAATCTCGGCAAGCTTGCAGGGAAATGCCAGCTTCGTGCTCTTAAAAGGGAAACGCGGCTGCTCTTAAAGGGGAAACGCCGGCTCCTGCATTTAAAAGGGAAACGCCGGCTCCTTTAAGTGCAGGGAACTGCCGTTTCTGGAGATCCAGCGCACGGGCATGTGGGGGGGGGGGCAGATGTCCCCAACGTGACGTCATCATGTCAGGGATGCCCCACCCCCTCCAAGAACGCCCCCAAAGTCCCCCGCTGGGGGTGGAAGATGGACTTGGCAACCCTAGTGTGGACTCTAATCTGGGAGAACTGGGTTTGATTCCCCACTCCTCCACTTGCAGCTG